AAGTCCTGACCTCAGGATCCACCCTCTGCGGCCTCCCAGTGTGCTGGGATTACAGGTGTGAGCCGCTGTGCCCAGCCTTTTTTTCTTTTTTTGAGATGGAGTTTTGTTCTTGTTGCCCAAGCTGGAGTGCAATGGCATGATCGTGGCTTACTGCAACCTCTGCCTCCCAGGGTCAAGCGATTCTCCTGCCTTAGCCTCCTGAGTAGCTGGGGTTACAGGTGCATGCTACCACGCCTGGCTAATTTTTTGTATTTTTAGTAGAAATGGGTTTTCACCATGTTTGTCAGGCTGGTCTTGAACTCCTGACCTCAGGTGATCCACCTGCTTTGGCCTCGCAAAGTGCTGGGGTTACAGGTGTGATGACCTGGCTTTGTTTTTGTTTTTAAAGGGGAGGGGGAACAGCAGGAGGTAGAGGGCCTTTGACATGTGCCTGGAGGGGTAAAGTGGTTAGGATTTGCCCAGGGAAGAGGGAGAGGATTTTAGGTAGATAAAGTAGCAGGGGGAAAAGTTTCATGAGTGATAGTGTTGTGATTTCTTCCTTTTTTTTGAGATGGAGTTTTGCTCTTATTGCTCAGGCTGGAGAGCAATGACTCCCAAGTTCAAGCAATTCTCCTGCCTCAGCCTCCCAAGTACCTGGAACTGCAGGCACCTGCCATCATGCCCAGCTAATTTTTATATTTTTAGTAGACATGGGGTTTTTCCCTTACATATTGGCCAGGATGGTCTCGAACTCGTGACCTGTGATCCACCTGCCTTGGCCTCCCAAAGTGCTGGGATTACAGGTGTGAGCCATTGTGCCTGGCATGATTTCTTCTTCCAAGAGTCTGGTCATATGGAGAGTGAAAGCCATTGTGACCTCTCCCCACATTGCAGAGAAGGGCTCCAAGCATCGGCCGCAGAGCACACATTTCCTCCACTATCTCCCCAGTGGGCATTGCTCTCACTTCCCAGCACTCCTGGTTGGCATCAGGGCTTGCCTCAATGTGTCTCAGAGTTAAGAACACTCAGATGCTCTTAAAGTTGAAAGTGATAAACCCCACTGCAGAAAGAAGTGCCAAGTCCCAGAGTACCAGGGGCAGGAAGGGCAGGAAGGGCAGGAACATTTACTGCATACCTCTGTACACTGCACTCCCAGGCCATGTCTCTCTAGACCTTCTGCTAGAGTGAGTCTCCCAGGCTCCCTTTCTCCTGGGAACACTTCCAGCTACTAAGATGTCATGAGTGCCCAGAAGGATCAGGAAGCTGGGACCCAGAACCTTCCCTCTTTCCAGGCTTACTGTGGGGCTGTCAAACTTCCTCCAGGTTCTCTTAACCACCCCAGGAAAGTTCAGGTTATTGGAAAGTTGTCCCTTCAATCTACTTTCCTCCCTCATTGCAATCTGTCCACTGCCTTCACCCCAGCCAGAGCTGCCGGGAAGAAAGTGCTGTGCCTGCGGTGGCTGTGTGCCCGTTTACCACAGAGAAGGGAGGGAGGCAGGTACTCAGTCCTCTGCAGATGGCAGTGCTGCTCCCCCACTGGGAGGGTCTAAGGAAAGAAAGGGAGAAGCCTGGGAGAGTGGCCAGGCCCTGTGCCCATCCGTGCTCATCGCGTCTGGGAGCGATGGACAGGGAACCCCTCAGCCAGCCACCAGGAGAGATCCTGTCCCTTCTTGCCTACAAACAGGCCCTGTGCCATCAGGTATGTTGGCTACACACAGGATGAGCAGATCTACAGGAAGCAGGTCAGAGCTGAGAGCCAAGGCAGGGTCCCTCCCAATCAGTGGCCTCCAAAGCTGAGATTTGGAGGCAGAGGGAGGTTGACAAAAATATTATGAAAAGCTGGGGTGGAAAAAAGAGTAGGAACTGAAGATATACTAGGAAAAGGGGAACGGGGGCTGGAAATAGGACAGAAACTCAGAGGCAGTGAGGGGGAGGCAGGGACACCGGGTGGATCTTGGGAGCTCTGGAATTCAGGGACCTTCCAGAAGCAGAAGTTGGTTTGAACTGTATGCCGTGTACCCAACTTTTACCTGATAGCCTTGTTTCAGCCTGTGCCCACAGGGTTAATTTTTTTTTTTTTTTTTTTTTTTGAGAGAGGGTCTCTCTCCTCTGTCACCCTCAAGCTTCAAGGCTTACTGCAGCCTCCACCTCTCAGGATCAAACAGTCCTCCCACATTAGCCTCCGGAGTAGGTAGGACTACAGGTGCATGCCACCACATCCAGCTAAATTTTTTTTTTTTTGAGATGGAGTTTTGCTCTATTGCCCAGGCTGGAGTGCAGTGGTGTGATCTCAGCTCACTGCAACCCCCTCACTGCAACCCCCACTTCCCAGGTTTAAGCAATTCCCCTGCCTCAGCTTCCCAAGTAGCTGGGATTACAGGTGCACGCCACCACACCTGGCTAATTTATTTTTTTGTATTTTTAGTACAGACGAGGTTTCACCATGTTCACCAGACCGGTCTTGAACTCCTGACCTCAGGCAATCCACCTGCCTTGGCCTCCCAAAGTGCTGGGATTATAGGCGTGAGCCACTGCGCCTGGCCTGCAGCTAATTTTCAAATGTTTGTTTTGTTTTGTTTTAGATGGAGTTTTGCTCTTGTTGCCCAGGCTGGAGTGCAGTGGTGTGATCTCAGCTCACTGCAACCTCCACCTCCCGGGTTCAAGCAATTCTCCTGCCTCAGCCTCCAGAGTAGCTGGGACTATAGGCATGCACCACCACACCCGGCTAATGTTTGTATTTTTAGTAGAGACAGGGTTTCACTATGTTGGCCAGGCTAGACTTTAACTCCTGACTTCAGGTAATTCACACGCCTCAACCTCCCAAAGTGCTGGGATTACAGGTGTGAGCCACTGCCCCTGTTCTTAAATTTTTTAGAGAGATGAGGTCTCGCTATGTTGCCAAGTCTGGTCTCAAACTCCTGGGCCCAAGCGATCCTCCTGCCTCGGCCTGCCAAAGTGCTGGAATTATAGTTGTGAGCCACTGCGCCTGGCCTGCAGGGTTGAATTTGGCAGGATGAAGGAAGTGCAGTGAACTGGAGACCTCTGGTTTTCTTCAGTCCCTGCAGGTGTTCCTGCTGGAGCTAGGGTCCTGTCACCCCGGCCCTCCTGACAGACACCTCAGCTCTGAAGATCTTTGTGTAACTCACCCTTCTTCCTCCCGCTCAGACCAACTGGAGTCTGACCTCTTCTCAAGATCTACCCTTTTTCCAGCATCGCTGTCATTTCATTCATGGTCTCTGCCCTCTGTGAAAATGAAATCTGTCTGGCAGTTTCTCCCTTACATCCTCATCTCCACTAACCCTGCCTCATGCCATGATGCCAATACTTTTACTCTGTCCCTCAAAGAGATGAGGTTTAGCAAGGCTTCCTCAACTCCCTCCTAGCAATATTCCCTCCTCCACCCACTGAAATTCAGACTGGGACTCCAGTCATCGTGTTGCTTTTCCTTCCATTAGCTTAACTCTCCCAGCCCCCCTCCCATTTTCCCTCAGCCTTCTGAGCTCAGGAAATGGTGCATGGGAGAGGCCAGGGCTGGGTCTCACACAATGGTTTTATTTAGCTCTAGAATGAGATCACATTAGGTCATATCACTGCTTCCGCTGAGCAGAGAGATAGGAGATTCTGAAATAGGTCTGGGATCAGATGCTTGAGACAGGGGAGGCGGCGGGTGGGAAAGCAGAAAGGGGCTCTAAGAAGTCATTTTACTTATCTTCCCACCTCTGGATGGAATCCTCTTCCCACCACTGCAAACCGTCAGTGTGTCCTGTCCCTTCCTCCGAGTGCGTAACCTTCACAGATTGCACTAGTCATCAAAGATTTCTTAGACATTCTACTGGGAGCTGGATGGGAATATATAATATTTTAATAGAGAGAGACATCTGTTACTCAAAACTCTGAGACCATAATTTCTTTAGGGTGTTACAGCTTTGAAATAGGTCAAATTTGCTAGCTCTGCCCCTTTCTTTTTTTTTTTTTTTTCAAGACAGTCCCAGTCTGTCACTGAGGCTGGAGTGCAGTGGCACGATCCTGTCTCATTGTAACCTCCACCTCCCGGGTTAAAGCAATTCTCCTGCCTCAGCCTTCCAGGTAGCTGGGATTACAGGCGCCTGCCATCACGCCTGGCTAATTTTTGTATTTCTACTAGAGACGGGGTTTTGCCATGTTGGCAGGGCTAGTCTCGAACTCCTGAACTCAGGTGATTCACCCACCTCAACCTCCCAAAGTACTAGGATTACAGGCATGAGCCACTGCACCCAGCCTAGCTATGCCACTTTCTTTCTTTCTTTCTTTTTTTTTTTTTTTTTAAAAAAAGGCAGACTGCCGGCTGGGCATGGTGGCTCACGCCTGTAATCCAAGCACTTTGGAGGCCAAGGTGGGCGGCTCACATGAGCTCAGAAGTTCAAGACCAGCCTGACCAACATGGTGAAACCCCGTCTTAAAAAATAAAAATAAAAATAAAAAAGAATGGCAGATTGCCACATGCAGCGCCTCATTTGGATGTGTCTGGAGCTATGCCACTTTCATAAGCCACATAACCTTGGGAACTTAACTTTTTTTTTCTTTTTTGGACCCAGGGTCTGGCTCTGTTGCCAAGGCCGGAGTGCAGCCTTGATCAGAGCTCACTGTAGTCTCAAGCTCCTGGGTCAAGCGATCCCCCTGCTTTAGCATCCAGTAGCTGGGACTACATGTATGCACCACCACACTCTAAGTTCAAAAAAATTTTGGGACTGGGCACAGTGGCTCACGCCAGCAATCGAGCACTTTGGGAGGCCCAGGTGGGTAAATCATGAGGTCAGGATTTTGAGACCAGCCTGGCCAATATGGTGAAACTCCGTCTCTACTGAAAATACAAAAATTAGCCAGGCATAGTGGTGGGCACCTGTAATCCCAGCTACCAGGGAGGCTGAGGCAGGAGAATCGCTTGAACCTGGGAGGCAGAGGCTGTGAGCCAAAATTGCGCTACTGCACTCCAGCCTGGGCAACGAGTGAAACTCCATCTAAAAAAAATTTTTTTGGCAGCGCAGCAGCTGGGAGTGAGGAGTGCGCCTAGCCGGCCATGGGCAAGTCAGCTTCCAAACAGTTTCATAATGAGGTCCTGAAGGCCCACAATGAGTACTGGCAGAAGCACGGCATCCCCCCACTGAAGCTCTGCAAGAAGCTCAACCGGGAGGCTCAACAGTATTCCGAGGCCCTGGCCAGTACAAGGATCCTCAAGCACAGCCCAGAGTCCAGCCGCGGCCAGTGTGGGGAGAACCTTGCATGGGCATCCTATGATCAGGCAGGAAAGGAGGTGGCTGATAGCTGGTACAGTGAAATCAAGAACTACAACTTCCAGCAGCCTGGCTTCACCTTGGGGACTGGACACTTCACGGCCATGGTATGGAAGAACACAAAGAAGATGGGAGTGGGGAAGGCATCCGCAAGTGACGGGTCCTCCTTTGTGGTGGCCAGATATTTCCCAGCAGGGAATGTTGTCAACCAGGGCTTCTTTGAAGAAAACGTCCTGCCACCAAAGAAGTAACTTGTCAAATGTAATGGAAAGGTGGCAGACTTAGGAACGTGGATATGAAGTGCCTAGAACAACCAAAACCTGGCTGTGCGTCTGCCCCGGTGGGAGTATGTGCTTGTGTGTATGATGCATGTGAGCGTCTCTGGTATATACACTTGGACATACAGGTCTATGTGAGCTCATTCTTTTTTTTTTTTTTTTTGAGACGGAGTTTCGCTCTTGTTACCCAGGCTGGAGTGCAATGGCGCGATCTCGGCTCACCGCAACCTCCGCCTCCTGGGTTCAGGCAAGTCTCCTGCCTCAGCCTCCTGAGTAGCTGGGACTACAGGCACGCACCACCATGCCCCGCTAATTTTTTGTATTTGTAGTAGAGACGGGGTTTCACCATGTTGACCAGGATGGTCTCGATCTCTTGACCTCGTGATCCACCCGCCTCGGCCTCCCAAAGTGCTGGGATTACAGGCTTGAGCCACCGCGTCCGGTGAGCTCATTCTTATTACAAGAGTGAGCAAATGAAGCATTTACCCTGATGGTTACCTAGACCACGATTATTTGGATTTGGGGGAGGGGAGAATCAGTTTTTTAATTTTTTTGTTATTTTTAAGCAAACTTCTTTTGTATCTTTCTTCTAATATTCACCCCTGGACTTTTTGTATTCCAAATGTTTGTGATGCTGAGAAATGAAGTTCATTTTATGAGAAAAAAAAAATTTTTTTTTAAAGATGGTCTCACTGTGTTGCCCAGGTTGGTCTTGAACTCCTGACCTCAAGTGATCCTTTTGCCTTGGCCTCCCTAAGTGTTGGGATTACAGATATGAGCCCCTGAGCCCAGCCCAGCCAGCTTTTTTGACCCTCAGACTCATGTATAAAATGAGAATGAGAGGTTGGGTGCAGTGGCCACGCCTGTAATCCCAGCAGTTTGGGAGGGTGAGACGGGTGGATCACCTGAGGTCAGAAGTTTGAGACCAGCCTGACCAACGTGGTGAAACCCTGTCTCTACTAAAAAGACGAAATTAGCCAGGCGCGGTGGCTCACGCCTGTAATCCTAGTACGTTGCCCAGGCTAGTCTCAAACTCCCGGGCTGAACTGATCTGCCTGTCTCGGCCTCCCACAGTGCTAGGATTACAGGCATAAACCACCTCGCCTGGCCAAAATATATTTTGTAAGGATGTTGAGAGACTTGATGATAATGTATGCAATGCAACGAGTCCCCCTTACATCTGTCTTTGGTGCAATAAATACTATTTATTGTATTGCTCAATAAATACTATTATTATTGTTGTTATTGCTACTTAGAGGCATGGAGACAGCAGGGCATGTTGAAACAGAGAGCTAGAAAGAAAGAGGCTCGGCCGGGCTTGGTGGCTCCTGCCTGTAATCCCAGCACTTTGGGAGTTGGAGGTGGGTGGATCACGAGGTCAACAGATGGAGGCCGTCCTGGCCAACATGGTGAAACCCCATCTCTACTAAAAATACAAATATTAGCTGGGTGTGGTGGTGCGCACCTATAATCCCAGTTACTTGGGAGGCTGAGGCAGGAGAATCACTTGAACCCGGGAGCTGGAGGTTGCAGTGAGCCAAGATGGCGCCACTGCACTCCAGGCTGGCGACAGAGTGAGACTCCGTCTCAAAAAAGAAAAAAAAAAAAGAAGGAAAGAAAAAGAAAAAAGGAGACCCAACAAAGAAGCAGAAATAGGCATCATATGATGGTGACCCACTGTTTTCTCTTAGAGAGAGAATAAAGAACCCATGGGTGACACTCACGTAGCTAGGATGGGAACAGTCATCATAAACAGCTTCTGCTGGCAAAGCGTGTATGCAACCGGAGTAAGAAGAGCAAGAAGAAACGAGAGCTTTTTTGTTCTTTGGGACCCTGTTGAGCCCTGATGTAGATGTCCTCTTCAAGAAGAAGAAAGGGATAGAATGGCCTCTGGAAATTTAAAGCAAGGGTTAGCAAACTATAGCCTCTGGGACAAATCTGTCCTGCTATCTTTTCTTAATAGGTGAAAAAAATAAAAGAATACTTTGAGACACAAAATTATATGAAATTCAAATTTCAGTGCCCATAAATAAAGTATTTTTGGAATGCAGCCATGTTCAGTCATTTACATATTGTCTATGGCTGTTTTTGCATTATATCAGCAAAGTTGATAGTTGCAAAAGAGAGCCCACAAAGTCTGATATATAGATATATCCTGAGCCTGGGATCCTAATATATGTATATGTGTATTATATATATATATATATATATTTTTTTTTTTTTTTGAGGTGGAGTTTCACTTTTGTCGCCTAGGTTGGAGTACAATGGCACTATCTCGGCTCACTGCAACCTCCACCTCTCAGGTTCAAGAGATTCTCCTGCCCCAGCCTTCAGAGTAGCTGGGACTACAGGCATGCACCACCACTCCCAGCTAATTTTAGTACTTTTTAGTAGAGACAGGGTTTCACCATGTTGGCCAGGCTGGTCTCGAACTCCTGGCTTCAGGTGACCCAGCTGCCTGGGCCTCCCAAAGTGCTGTGCTGGGATTACAGGTGTGAGCCACCATGCCCGCAGCCTTGACTTTCCAGGCTCAAGCAAGCCTCTACCTCAGCCTCCGCAGCAGCTGGGACTACAGGCGCATGCCATCACACTGGGATAATGTTTGTATTTTTTGTAGAAACAAGGTCTCACTATGATGCCCATGCCGGTCTCAAACTCCTGAGCTCAAGCGAAGTGCTCACCTTGGCCTCCCAAAAGTGCTGGGACTACAGGCATGTGCTACCACGCCTGGCCTAAAATATTTGTTATCTGGATCTTTACAAAAAAAGTTTGCCAACTCCTGATCTAGAGCAACTGGGTCTCAAAATATTAGGAAGGAGGAGAAAATAGATAAAAGAGGGCCGTGAAGGCTCACTGCACACCAGACATTCTGCAACAAGGTTTGAGGAAGAAGGGACATTGAGACATTGAGACCCCAATATACCTACTTCCTGGTTTTTTTTTGTTTTTTTTTTTTTTGTTTTTGAGATGGAGTCTTGCTCTGTCACCCAGGCTGGAGTGCAATGGCGTGATCTTGGCTCACTGCAACTTCTGCTTCCCAGGTTCAAGCAATTCCCCTGCCTCAGCCTTCCAAGTAGTTGAGATTACAGGCACCCACCATCATGCCCAGCTAATTTTTGTATTTTTGTAGAGAAGGGGTTTTCACCATATTGCCCCGGCTGGTCTTGAACTCCTGACCTCAGGTGATCCGCTCACCTCAGCCTCCCAAAGTGTGGGGATTACAGGCATGAGTCACCATGCCAGGCCAAGTGGCTAGCTTTGAAAGAAATCTGGCAACACTGCTTTTACCCACCTTATTCCTACCTCCCTGACCTCAGCCAAAGAAAGGAAGCAGGTTCCAAGAGAAATAAGACAGGGGTCCCAACGAAGTGAAATGTATCCTTTTGTTAGCTTAGGTCTCTGAATGAGGTGATCGGGAACAGGCAGGTCTCTGGTTGCGTTTGCTGTCAGCAAACACTGAACCTGGGGGAAGTACTGCTGAGAGCAACCAAACAGCCCGGCGCTATGGCCTGGAGGCAATGCTGGCTGGCCCTTTTGCAGCCTGAGAAGCTTTCTGAGTTTGGCTGTGGGATCCTAAATCTATCAAGGTGGCCGATATTGGAGAAGACCCAAGAGAACTGGATAAGAAAGACTGAGGAGGAAGAGAGAGGGTAAATGACATGTCGTACTGGCTCTCCTCCAAATCTCCTGGCCACGGGCAGGGGTGCGGGGAGCACAGGGTCACAAAAACTCTTTGATGGTTCAAAATTTAACCTAATGTTTCTTCTCCTGTAGAAAGTAAACCATTAATCCAACAGTGCCCTGCAGAGAAGGGTAAAGCAAAGCTTCTCTTCGCCTCAGATAAAGAAGGCCCCAGGAGCCACAATTCCTTCCCACCTGCTCCCTAGATACCCCGTTCCAAGACAGGAGCACCCGTCTCTGATACCTCCCTGCTTCACCCATCTGCCTGACTTGGCTGAATGCTGGTGTCCTGGAACTCTTTCTCTGACCTTCCTGTCCACTGCCAGAGAGTAGTAAAATTCCAAAAATGAAAGGAAAGTAAAAGATATAGAGGATCCATTCATTCAGCAAAGATTACTTTAGCACCTTCTAAGTGTTAGGCACAGAGAAGAGGACCCAGAAGGGTCTTTGCACAAACACAAACACAATGGCGAGACCTGGCTACTATCCCTTAGTGGGGCAGAGGCCATTTGTCCTCTCAGCTTCCGGGTTGTCTCCTGAGAGACACTGTACTTAGTTCTGGAATTTCAAAGCATCTGCAGAACCCTAATCTAACCACACACCCCTCTACTAAGCCAGCTACAGGCATCTCAGACACTCTCCCTAGATCATCCCCATGTCCTTGATGTACTCGTTTCATAAGTTGGTCAGGAATTTTGCTGATCTGGGCTTCCAAGTATGACCACCTTTTTTTTAATTGGTTAGTAAACTGAACTTAGGGACCCTGCCCTCTTCCTTTCTGCTGGACCTGTAGCTGTACACTTATTCCAACAGGGGCTTGGGACCCAGACTAGCCCTTTATCTGTGGGGGACAGAGAAGAAAAGGGTCAAGACCAACCAGTCCTCTTCTGCCTCCTGCCAGTTCCCTGGCATGTGTTCTGGGTGCTATGCCAGACGGGTGGGGCAAGAGAGGGTCTGAGGGTAAGGACCCAGGAAGGGAAGAGGGAAACTCACCAGACCTGGGAGATATCCCAAAGATGGGGGACCTGCTTCTGTCCTCAGTTGGTGACTTTAGTGCGGGACAAAGTCCTGCTTCAGGTGGCCCCCTTAAAAACCCAGTCCAGCACCTTAGTTGGGGGCACCTCTCTCTTGGTCCTTTTAAGGGAGCTGCTCATGGTCCAGAAGTTTGCATAGGAGAAAGGGGGGACTCATTCCAGTCCAGACCAGCTGCCTCTTCAACCACTATAGCCCTTCCCTTCCCCGCCCTACTTCAAACACCCTAAACAGTGCTGTGCCCAGGCCCTTAACCCTTTCAGTGCCACCACTGATCCCAGGGACTCCTGGGTCCCTCTGTCCTCAGCATTTCCTGAACACAGGGTGGCTACAGAGAATTCAGACTTGTGTGGAAACAGATACAAGAAGCCGTGCCGGGGTCACCCTGAGGAGAGGGTATGTAGGAAGCTGACAGCCCAGGGAACATTCACCCT